TTCTCTCACTTTTTTTTTTTTTTTTTTTAATTAGTTCCAGCCTGTCTCTTACTTGTCCCAGCAGTTTTCCAGCTGGTTAAACCAGGACCCGGAGAGGCTAATTGAACTTTGTATCCTTCTGTCTCTGGTGGACTCCGGAGGAACTGGAATAATTTTATTGTCTTGGAAAATCGGGCTGCCAGAGACCCACCTGAAGTCACTGGGGAGGCAGTGGTGGGGCTTGGCATGTGTTCCAGTAATCCTGGGCTCATGGCCCCATGCTACTGCCTGGCATCTCCCCTGCCTCCCTCTGATCCATCCCACTGCTCTGCTTTGAGGGGGGGGGGACATATAAACTAATAACTTAATTACATTAAGGAATAATGAGGGGAACTGATACGCAGGATTAATTACAAGCAAAATCCCAAATTAATTGTGAGGAGTACTTGTAGCTGGCTCTGCAGCAATGCTTTCCTGGTGTGCTGGCTCCCGTGTCCTATGCCAGTCTGTGGCTGGGGATGCTTATGAGGGAGCAGGAGATGAGTAGGTGGGTAATAAGCCTTTGGTCAACTCATTTCCCACACCTGTATCAGACCACAGTGGCTGTATGGCAAAGCCCTGCAGCAGGAGAGGATTTCAGGAGTCTGGGTTCCCACAATCAGGGTCAGCAGTGTGTGCAGGAGGGACAGGAAGATAGTTTTTGTTTGGTTTGGGATTTTGTTTCCCTTCATTCCTTCCTGCATGCTAGCTTGCTCCCTCTGATGAATGGCTGAAGCACAGCTGACAGCCTCTGGAGGGAAAGCAGGTCTGTGACGGGCTTGAGTGCAGGAGAAAAGCTACAGAGGAAAAGTTTCCTTTATTAAAAAAAATGACCTGTTCTGCTTGACTTGTACTAGTGTTTGCAATGCAACATCTCCTTTCTGAGTGTGCTCAAATGCAGCTGGCGGATGGCTCCTGGGAGATGTGGAGAAGCTCAGCAGCCTCACTGCCTGCTCCACTGCTCAGCACCCTGCATGGCTGGACCTCAGTGCAAAGGGACCCTTGCCAGCTTTGTGCTTATGTGCCTTTCACCAGCCTATGCTTCCTTCTCCATCATTGCCATCTAGAAAGCCTCAGCACCTGGAGCTCAGCTGACAGTCTCCAGATATTAAATTCCTGTCAGTTTTATAGCAGCAGAGCCACTTAACAGATTAAAATAACTGTGTATCCTGCAAAAATTCAGATCTTGACAATTAAGGGATTGAAGTGGCAAGGCTGTTGGGAACAAAAAAAAACAACAAAAAAAAACCCCAAAAAACCAAAAAACTAAAAAAAGAAAAAAAGAAGAGGCAGAGTGTTTAATATCCAGGAAGCTTGTATTGGCTGGGGACATGGATAGGTCCAGGTTGTGAGAGAAGGCAAAATTTATTTCATGCTTTGTTGGTGAAATCCCACTCTGAAATCTCTAGGAGTAAAACCAGGCTTTCTTGGTTGTGCAGAGCTTTGCTTGT